CCACATACATGGCAAAGGAGTTTCCCCATTACACCCTAGACAATTGGCAAAGGTACCTAAAAAGGGTATAACATACTGAAAGTGGAGTTTAAGAGGATTCTTCTGGCTGCAATGTGCAGGGTAGCTTAGATCTGGAGTGAGGCAAGAGATCAGTGAGGAGCCTATTGCAATTATTCAAGTCAGCCAAATCCAGGACCTGTCTTTTTCCTACTTTCCTCTGATGTTGATAATGTAGCACAGAATTCAGAAACATCTAATACCACTGAATGTTCACTTCTATTCCTCCTACTGTCCCTGGATCTATCCCTTTCCCACCTGGATTTCCATTAGTCCAGCCCTCCACTTCTGCAGGCCTGTCTATCTGGATAACACTGAGCCTCTTGTCTATCCCCCACCTCTGGAGTAGGGTCATATAGGAAACCTTCCAACCCTGATTAAAAGCCTCCTGTTAAGATCTCTAGAAAACAGCACACAGGGAAGGCCAGGCAGGGACATCAATGGAAGCAGTGAGGCAGTGTAATGGATAATGACAGCAGCATCATTATACTGTGTGTTAAGCATGGTGTTGAGAACTTTATGGAAATCATCTCATTTAAACTTCATGACAAACCCATGAAGTAGGTATCATATCTCCCCGACTCCCACCTTTTATAAACAAAGCTATCAAGGGACAAAGCAACTCACTGAGATTGTGAAATTATAAGGGTTGGTGCTGAGTTTGCTGCACTCTGACTGCTGGGTAATGTACCTTCCAGGGTCTCCAGGTCCAGAGATCTTGCCCTTCTCTGGATTGTTAGGTCAAAGGCTATCAATGAAGGGAAACAATGCTGAGGAATGCTCACATAGCCTTTCTGAGTCTTGGCTTCCTTATCTGTATAATGAGAAAGCATGTGCTAGACACTTTGGTTCAGTAAATAATAGTATTAAGCCAATGAAATCAGATTGATTCCAATAAAGCAGATACCAGAGAAATGACCTCTGAATAACTTTCAGCTTGGACATGCTAGGAGCCTATTTCTCACCATCAGTAATTCTCACTATCTTGCTATGCCTTTGATCCAGCCTAAATCCCCACTGCACACCAGCTCACCCATTTTCCTGTGAAAATTCCTCTCTCAGCAGCGGAGATGAACTCTGGGTGGGCAGACGTGTGTGTATGTGTTCTGTGGCAGGAGGACAGGGGAGGGACATAAGTGAGCAGCTGGAACTGAGGGAGATTAAAAGCACAAATGAGGTTGGCATTGGATGTGTGACAATGGAGTGATGCTTAGGCTGAGGTGCTTTGGCATATGGCCACATGAATCAGTTCCTTGCAACCCACCTGTCACAGAGCCCAGCCCCAGCACTGGGAGACCTGAGGCTCGGGTGATGGGCTGGTGGGGACGTTTGGCAGGGTATGATACCCTGATGAATGTGTTGTTGGAACAGCGGTCATTGAAATCAGTAGATTTTTCTGGTTCTAAAGTGAGGACAAATGAAAAGAGAGGAGAGAAGCACTTGGGGAGGGGGCTTTAGGACATTCTTCTTACAACTCCCACTGCACATGGAGTCCGGCCTATGTCAGTGCTTCAGTGAAAAGGAGCAGCCAGGAGGAAAAACAGATCTGTGAGGGTGGCAGGGGAGGATGATGAGTTCATGGTCATTTCTGATCTAGAAGAGTCACCGTGAAGTAAATGCCTTCTATTTGTTAGTTGCCTGAGCTAAGCACCTCATACACATCACATCTCAGCCACGGAATATGAGGTCAGTGTTGTTATTCTCATTTTAGAGAAGAAACTGAGGTTCAGAAATTAGATAACTTTTTTGCAGTCCACATTCTGTAAATGGAGAAAAGGTTATAGAAAAAGTTAAAAATACTTTAACTGGGGTCAAGGTCCGACTTTCCTACTATATTATTTCCTACTATGTGATCCCGAGTAAAGAAATATTGATTCACTTAATTTCTTAACTCATAGAGCGAATACTATACCTGCTTCTTAGGGTCCTTGTGAGGCTTCTATGGGCCAAGATCTCTGAGCACTTGTAGTTCCCAGCACAGAGCAGATTCCCAATGCATGGGTAGGGTCTATTTGCTTTCTCTCTCCAGGCCTGCGGGATGCCAGCCTGTGAGGGCAGAGACCCTCCCATAGAGGGTGAGGGAGTCAATTCCACATGTAGTTTCTTCATCTCCAATTACTCCCTGCTCTTACTGGACCCTAAGGAGTGCCGTATTTTCAAGACACTTAGAAAATGTGAACTATTGTTTAAAAAAGTCATGTAGAAGAACTAAGTCTTTGGCTTCAGAATACTTCCAGGATCTATTGTTCTCCACTCGGTTCTCCAAACCAAGACACTCTTGCTCAGAAAACTGCTTTCAATTGCTGCCTTTGGGCTGCAGCCCTACCTCATGCCCACTCATGTTAGTTCCTCTCATTTAACCTCAGCACCACCTTGCTGTCCACTAGATCTGCTGTTGTCTCCTCATCTTTGAAGGCAGGGGTTTTCTTCTGGCCTCACAAAGTGTTTATTGTCTGTTACCAGACACCTCTGTTGTGGCTTCAGGATGCCGACTGAGCTCCAACTTGATCAAACCCTCTAGGATGTTCCAGCTCCTTTGCCTATTGTTTTTCCTGAATGAGTTGTGGCCCCAGGGTGGTATGGCTGATGCCACTGGCTCCCGGCATGTGAAGCCTCTCACTGGTTTTTTGCATCCTGCCTGGGAGCCTTGCACTCCTGCATGTGTGGGACTTATAGGATACGGTGTGGGGAGTTTGCATTGGAAGTGGAGAACCCCCTATGTAAGACTTCTCACTGCCAAGAGGAGAGTGTGCTTTGGTGCAACAGAACCTTCTCCAAAATGAAGGCACTCTGCAGCACAAACACTAATAAAATTTGACATTCTCCATCTTGAGTGGGGTGAGGTTACACTTAGAATAGCCATTTCAAGAGCCAGGAAAGAGGAGCGCAGCCAAAGAACAGGAGGAGGGATCTGATCTTCCAATCCAAGACAAGCCTGTTGGTGATGCACACAGGTAGCTGTTTCCATTTTCAAAGCTCTACCGGACTTTGAAAACAGCAGATTTTGAACTCTGTAATTTTCTTCTCGGTGCTCTGTTTAGCATCAAGTGATTCTCCCTTCATGACTGTGTAGTCTCTTGGGGGTGTTTGTTTGCATGACAGGATGAGTGGGCAGGACCTGGCTTCTCTTTCTGGACTTTCTCCTGTCTGTCTCCCAGCAGCAGGGTCATGGTGCCATCACAGAGTACTCCAGGGAGCTCAGGCCAGCCCCACACAGTTTGCAATCCACAGTGAGAAGCCTGGGGCTAGTGGTTTTTTCCAGCACCCCAAAATGCCAGCTATCCATTATGACTTCAGGTACCACATTTCTTAATTTAAGCCAACAGCTGTCTTGCCAGTGAAGAACCTTTTTTGGGGGGTGTGGTGAATGAAAACTCCTTGGAGGAGGAAGGCTTCCTCTCCTACATGTTTCAGAAAATGTCCAGCTTTGATGCCTTAAAGGACATGAGCTACCCATTCACAGATCCCTCAAACTTAACCTATCTGATGCCATGGTCTAATCCCAGCCCCACATCCTGATGTCAAGCTGGATGCTGGTCATATTTACGTAGCACTGCCGTTCCTATCATGCATTCACCTCCCATGTCATCAGCTTTCCATTACTGTAACCAATATTCAACATCAGCAAACAAAGAGAAAGGTCTATTTTGGCTCACGGTTTTAGAGGGTTCAGTCCATGATCTGGCAGATTCAGAGCTTTCACGCCTCTGGCTGGGAGGCAGCTCATCATGGTGGGGACACACTGTTGAGTAAACTATTCACTTCAGGGCCAGAGAGCAAAAGAGAAAGGATGAAATTGGGGTCACAAATACCCTTTCAGGGAACATCCTGGATCTGAAAGACTTCCTTATGGGGGTTACTGCTTAGCACTCAAAGTCAATTGTTCCAAACTGGGATGAAGCTTTTACACATGGGTCTTTGGTGAGCATTCCAGACCCAAGATACAGTACCTCCAAATCCTCCTTTAACCTTCACAGCAACATAAGAGGCACAGTGGACAGGAATTATTCTTGTTGTTCTAGATACAGTGGCCAAAGCTCAGAGAAGTTAAGGATCTCCCTCAGTCCCTCTGCATGGGGAGGTAGTAGGGTATACCATTCTTTGGAATTTTGGCTGGGACTCTCGGCATTCACTATACAATGCAGCTCCTATCTTTTACCCTAAAATGATCAACTAATTGTACTGAGAAGCCAAGGAGTAGTGTTCCTCACTAGGCTTTTCAGTTAGGGACTTGGGATCCATAGGTAACCCTGATTTAATCAGGTCCTAGAGCAACGAATAGAGAGAAATGCCTTTGGGAATGGGCTACGAATGGAAGGTAGGTTAGGGAAAACACAATTGTATCAGTCAGGGTCCAGTACACCAGTAGAAGTCTCTGTTCTGGAACTTTAAGCAGAGAACAGGCTAACACACAAAATGGGGTACCTGCAACACCACCATTCAGGCTGGAGAAGAGTGCTGGGTGGGACATTCAGGAATGACTCCATGTCAGAGCTCCCTCATAGGGAGCCACTTCCCACCACTGGAGTGCTGGGCCCACTGAGCTCAGGAGCACCTGCCACAGCTCCAGTGGGGCTTCAGGAAGCTGCCACCACCACTGAGGCTGCTTCTACTATCTCGAGGCACTCAGAGCTGGCCAGCAGATGCTAAATGCCACTGCCAAAACCCGGTGCTTCTAGCATGTTGCCAGTAGAAAAGAACCAGCAGCACAAGAAGTGGTAATAGCCTGGAAGAATCACGTTCTCATGTAAAACTGTGGATGCAAGGGGGTCTGGGAAATGTGGCTCTTTGTTGGCTGGTTTCCAGCTTCTATCAAAAGAAATCTGGAGACAGGAATGATGGATGTTGAACAAACCAGTTACCACCACAGTAACCACTGGACGCTTGTTCTCTTCTTACCAATGAAATCCCAGTAGACAAATGTTCTGAAAACACACACTCGGTTCTGAAGTGGATATTCCAAAGGACTTTATTAGCACATTAACAACCTATCATACACAATTGTGTATTTGCAAAGCTGCACACAGACACCACATCTCTCAAGAATTGTTGACGTGTTTCATTGTAGAGTTGAGAATTTCCAACCCATGAAGCTCTCTCAGTTGAACAGTGAACCTGTTGTAATCAGACCACAAAATTCAGGTCATAAGTGCCCTGCTTCAGAGCCATCTCCCTCTAGACAGAAGCGGGCTGGGAACATCAGCCCCATCACTCTGAGTGCAAAGGGGAAGTGGCTGCGGCACTGGGGAGCCCTGAAGATCAAAGGGGTAAGTGAGTCTCACAGGGAGACCACAAGACACTGAAAACACTCTCCCTGCAAGTGGCAGGTGTGACAGGCCGATCAGATGGGACTGTGCTCTGGGGGAACTCCCCAGCAGGCTACCACTTTGAGCTCATGCTCGCTAATGTGCCTTGCTTTCTGTGCAAGAAAGATTTTATCTTTTCCTTCCATTTGATCAGTCAGACAGAACTTGAAAGGAACTCGGATGTCATCCAAGCCAGCCCTTTCATTCTACAGAGAAGAAATTGTAGGTACACTGCTATGAGGAAGAAGCCATCCTCTACCCATCCCCAAAGGCATGGCTGTCTGTGCCAGGCTTCACGGCTTGCTCTCTGGGGTGTTTGTGCACATCAGAATAAGACGAGAGCCAGCAGGAGGCTGAACAAAAAGAGAAGCAATGCACAGAGTTCAAGCTAGGGTCTCCTGCCCCACCTTGCTGGGTGGCCCCGGACATGCTTTACTGCTTCTTCATTCCCTTTTCAGTAAGAAAATGTGACCCTCTCTGGACATCCCTCCATTTGTTTAGACCCAAGCACGCATGCATATCTACATATATAGGTAAATAAAATAAACTCAGTCTATTTCTGGAAAAAGGAAAAAAGGAGAAAGGATGGTAGATAGTTGGATTTTAAACTTTCCCCAAAGGTCCATAGCTGAAGGCTCAGTTCCCAGCCCATAGCACTCTTCGGAGGTGGTGGCACCCTTAGGAGGTGGGGCCTAGTGGGTGTTTATGTCACTGTGGGCATGCGCTTAAAGGCGCTATCAGGACCCTGGCCCCTTCCTGTCTCAGTGCTGGCCACAGTGTACCTGGGCTCGGCTGTGCACAGCTTCCCCAGAGCGATGCCTGCATTCAGCTGCACGGCTGTCTTCTGTGAGTCACCACCTGCTAGCTTTAACAGGACTTGCACAACGTCTGTGTTCAGCAGGGAAGACGCGACACTGGGCACCTCCATGCAGTTGCCAAGGCAGAGGGCAGCATTGCCCATCAGAATCTCATCCTCTGAGCTGAGCAGCTTCAGCAGAACACTGAACTCTACAAGGAAAGGAGCACAAGCAACCGTTCCTCCCGATCCTCTAACAGGAGGCTGCCAAAGGCATGAGGGGCTGGGAGACCTATTGGAAGATTCTGAGCTTCCCCAGAAACCCTGGGAAGGGTGCGCTCACTCACTCAACAAATACTCACTGAATGCTGTGACCCTCCTCAGCTGTTCTCTATGTCCCTGCATCTCCTCAGGTGCCCAGAACAGCACCCAGCGCAACACAGTTGCTGCATGAATAGCCCTGTGTGCCCAACTGGTGGTCTGTCTTCTGGAAAGGCCCCATGCTCAACCCGCATGCCCCACCACAAAGAGAGACCCCACCTGGCCCCTGAGTTTGAGGCAGTATGCCAGCATCCTGTATTTCCCCAGAAGAAAGGTTTCTCTCCCATGATGGCGGCCCACTCAGTCACCATCCGAGGAAGTGCTAGGGAGCACATTAGCAGGCTGCTTCCCTGGGAAGCCCTGCTCTGAGCAACTATAGCTGATTAAATTAATAAAGTTAGGCTCAGATTCCTATATGCCCCTTGTTCACTAAAGGTTGAGGATAGTTTTTTTCCCTCTTCCTTTTGTGAATGCAAAGGGCTGAGTCTAGGTCAGTTTAAGTATACTGCTATGGGAACAACTTCCCAGCCTTGACCCTGTTGTCTTTGAGCTGTCTGTCAGCTGGGCCTCCTGCGCAGGCACTGTACCTGTGCGCAGCCAGAAGGATAACCCAATGCCTTCGAAACAGAGGTGAGCTGCACCTTGCTCTGTGAGCAGTGCAGAGGCCCCAGGGAGGTTAAAAGCACTCATGCTAAGTGCCTCCTCACTCCGAAGCTGTGCTTCCCTCCGAGGCTTCCAGGAGGACTAGCCTCTGGAATGTGGGTGCCCTTAGCAAAACTGTCACTTACTTTTATCCAGTCTCACTACCTCCTCCCGAGCTTCACAGCAGCTATTCGTGCAGATAGCTAGTATCTTTATAGCATAATGTGATGCAGTCTGGCCTCCTGTCTAGATTGCAGAATGAAATCAGAAAAGTACAATCAATGCTATGACATTTCTTGACCAGAAGCCACAGTGAACAGTCACAACAGTCCTAGTAGCTTCGGGAGTTTCTGAAAGACAGTTCCGATGACAACGGTATGTGCTGCCTGGTAAGCAGGACGGGCCCCTGCAAGGGCCCCCTCAACACAGCCCGCATCAGCTAGGAATGCAGGCTTGTCATGTTTATCTGCATCCCTGGAAGGCTCTGTGTGAGGGGCTGAGAGGAGAGGGATGCTGTCAATGGCAGATATACCAGTACTGGGAGAAACAGGCCTCCTATACCATTTCACCTTTTTAGAAAGGGTTGACATGCTAAGGCTGTTAGACGGATAGTGCTGTGTGAGAATTTCATGAACCTACATACTGTAAGAGGTGACAACGATCACATCATAATCCTTAAAAATACCCAATGAGGGTCTTTAAAATGCATGGGTGTGTGTGTGCGTGTGTGTGTGTGTATTTACACACAGTGCAGTTGTGTTTTCCTGCCATCAGCAGCCTCTGGCACGGTTACAAATGCTATGTAGAGGGAAAGACAGTCACTCCGCAAGTAACAACCTAAATTCAAATCTACCTCCGTGTCCCCTCAATACTCTCCCTGCCTCAGCAGCACCCTCCTCCTCTTCGGAGCACACTTCCCTGCTCTGCTCAGTCCAGGATTTTGTGTCACTACAATGACACAGATGATTAGGTCTCACTGGGCACATACTTCTCAGTGTGACCCAGAGATGACAGACTAATAACTCGCTTTGCCCTTCCAGGTGAAGCTGGTTACTTGCTCTGTTTCGCTGCATTCATTCCAAGAGGAAAAGTCCAACATCCTGCGGTCACACTATAGCCCTGCTGCCCCCTCATCTCAAGAATGGAGTTCGAGCCAACATTCTCCTTGTAACTACTTGAAGTTCTGTGAGTCCATGAACAAAATAACTGGCCCAGGAGCTCTGCAGAGAGCTATTTAAGCCATTTTGTTCAAGGACAGAGGCTAGAGGTTTTAAAGTGAAGTCTGAAAGGTAAGCATTTTTTACAGATCTAAACAGCAATTTGCTTATATATTTAACAACCTTTTGCTGATGTTCAGAGCATTGTCTGGGCGGACAGGCAGAAAAGAATCTAGATCCTGGAAGTTTAAAATCTGGCAGGGATGACATACTGGCACATTAACTGAGCAAAGGAGACCTTAATTCTGTTCCCTGAGTAAAATGGAAGACTCCTGGAAATTTAAGAGGCTGCAACCAGTGAAGTTACTTTACCTTCAGGAATTTAATCATTTTCTTCACCACTCCTGCCCTCACAGCCTCCTTTATGATTTTCTGAGAGCAACAAAGGGTCCGGCTCAGAACACCAGCAGCTCTCTGAGTGAAGCAGAAAGAGGATGATTAAATGCCGTATGACATTTCTAAAATTTCTAAAATTTTCAGAAATGCTGGTGACCTTTAAAGTTAACAAGGCATTTGGTGAGGCAAAGCAATCATTAGTATTGGAAGTGAAAGACACCTTGATGCTTAAAAATGCAGTGGCCAAGTGATACATAGTAAGCATGGTTCTTTTTAATAAACCTGCTTGGCAGGCAATTCAAAGGGCTGAAAACACTGCCCAACCCCCGACCCCACCCCACTCCAGAGAGGCCCAGTTTATTTCAGCTTTCCATGGGACCAACTAGCTCAACCCGGAGAACATCCTCCCTGGGTACCTCCCAGAACTCTGGCATCAGCAGGCCTTTCATTAGGGGATATTCTGCCTCCTGAATTGATTCTCTGTGTCTTTTAGCTTTCATTTATCTTTATAAATCTTGTGTTTTTGTTGTACTTTTTGGCAGATTTCATTTGCTTTATTTCCTAGCTCTCCTTTACTTTTTTAAATAATAGCAAGCTGTTACTGTTTTATGGGTATAACTATCTTGAATCTTTCCCAGGAGGCAAATGATAGTTATTTTTTCCTTCTAGTCCTAAGTCTATTTTGGGGGGTCAATTTTTCTGTTTATCTGTTTTGGTCACTTTTTTATTGGTTATACAGATGAATGGGTTTTATTTTGGCAGATCTGTACACGCACATAACATACTTTGATCATTTTCATGCCCCCCTTACTCAGCTTGCTCCATCTTCCCTCATAGTCTCATAGTTTTTTGAGGATTCCAATGCACATATTTTCTTCATATCCATCCCATAACTGGCCCTTACACTTTCTCCCCCTACCTCTTATTTCCCCTCTCTTTTCTAATAATGGTGTCCCTTATACTTTATTGCTATCCCTTTTAGACTCTACATATTAGGGAGAACACAGGATATATTCATCTTTCTGAGTCTGGCTTATTTCATTTAACATGATGGTTTCCAGATGCCTCCATTTTCCTGCAAATGATGGATTTTTTTCTCACTATTACATAGACACTACATTTTTTTTATCCATTCATCTATTCATAGACACCCAGGCTGGTTTCAGAGCTTGGTTACTGTGAATTGTGCATGTAGCTATCCTTATAGTAGGCTCTAATTATATTGGGTATATACAAAGGAGTGGTATCACTGGATCAACCGGTAACTAATTTTTTAAGCAACGTCCATACTGATTTCCACTAGTTTTCACTCCCGCCACCAGTGTAGAAGGCTCCTTTTGCCTTGCATCCTCGCCAGTACTTATTGTGTTTTGTATTCTTGATGATAGCCATTCTGAGTGTAGATAGATAGAATGTCAACATTTGCACTTTCCAATGGGTAAAGACATTGAACATTTTTTCATATGATTATTGGCCATCTGTACTTCTTTTGAGAAGTGTCTGTTCAATTCATTTGCCCATTTATTGACTGGGCTATTTGACTTTGTGGTGTTCTTTTGAATTCTTGGTGTATTTTAGATACTAACCCTCTGTCAGAAAAGTAGCTAACAGAGATATTCTCCCATTCTGTAGGCTGCCTCTTAACACTATTTTTCCCTTGTTGTACAGAAACTTTTTAATGTGATGCAGTTTCATTTGTTGATTCTTGCTATTATTTCTTGTGCTACTGAAGTCCTATTCAAGAAGTCTTTACCTACGTTTTTAAGTGTTTCCTTTATATTTTCTTTTAGCAGTTTCAAAGTTTCATGTGTTATACCTACGTCTTTGATCTATTTTATATATATTTTTGTATAGGGTGAGAAATACGGATATAAATTCAATCATCTGTAAGTGGATATCAGTTTCCCAAGCATCATGTTAAAGAGGCTGCTTTTTCTCCAACATATATATTTGGCTCATTTGTCCACAAATAGATCACTGTAATTGTATGTGTTTGGTTCTGTTCCCTCTGTTAATGTTTACTGGTCTATGGGTTCATTTTTGTGCCAGTACCATGCTGTTTTTGTTACTATAGATTTGTGATATAATTTGAAATCAGGTGTTGTGATGCATCGATTTGCCTTTTTTACATAGAAGTGCTTTGGGTACTTACTCTGGGTTTTTGTTTCCATATGAATTCTAGGATTATTTTTCCCTAGTTCTGTGAAGGATGCCACTGCTATTTTGATAAGTATTGCATACAACCTGATGATCATTTTTGATTATATGGCCATTTGACAATATTAATTCTGCCATAACAAGAACATGGAGGGTCTTTTCATTTTCTGATGTCTTCTTCAATTTCTTTTTTCAGTTTTCTGAAATTTTCATTATGGAAGTCTTTCCTCTCCTTGGTTATATTTAGCCCCAGGTACTTTACTTTATTTTAAGCTATGGTGAATGAATTTATTTTTTAGCTTTCTTTCTCAGCTAGTCAATTATTGGTATATAGTAAAGCTGTTGATTTTTTAATGTCAGTTTTATATCCTGTCACATTGCTAAATTCATTTCTCACCTCAAAAATTTTTTGATAGAGTCTTTAGTGTCTTCTAATCATAGAATATCATCTGCAAACAAGGATAATTTAATTTCTTCCTTTCTTATTTGCATTCCTTTTGTTTTCTCTTGCCTAATTGCTCTAGTTAAAACTTCTAGAACTATATTGAATAAGAGTGATGAAAGTGGACATCCTTGTTTTGTTCCTGGTTTGAGAGGAAATGCTTTCAGTTTTGCCCTATTGAGAATGATGTTGGCTGTGGATCTGTTGTATATGGTCTTTACTATACTGAAGATCGAGCCCAGTTTCTTCAGGCCTTTTAAGGGTGTTTGGATTTTGTTGAAGTCTTCTTCACACTAACTGAGAAGATCATGTGATTTTTGTCTTGGATATTTATCCTAGATTCAATCTATATCCCTTATGTAGTGTATTACACTACTGATTTGTATATGTTGAAACATCCTTGTATCCCTAAAATGAAATTATCTTGATTATGTTGTACGATCATTTTAATGTGTTGTTGGATTTGATTTGTGTTTTAGTAAGGATTTTTGCATCTATGTTTATCAAGGATATTGGTCCATAGTTTTCTTTTTGTTGTGTCCTTGTCCAGTTCTGGCACCAGTGTGATTCTGGCCTCACAGAAGGAGGTTGGAAGCATTCTTTCTCTTTCTATTTCATGGCATAGTTTGAGCAACTACAGTGTTAATTTTCTTTAAATGTTTGGCAAAATTTATCCATGAACCTATCTGGTCCTAGGCTTTGCTAGGAGACTTTTTATTATTGCTTCAATCTCATTGCTTGTCAATCTGTTTAGGTTTTTGCTATCTTCTTGATTTAGTTTTGATAGGTTATATGTATTTACAAATTTACACATTTATCCTAAATTATCCAATTAATTAGAATATAGGTTTTCAAAGTAGTCCCTAATAATGCTATGGATTTAGTGGTGGCTGTTGTAACATGTCTTTATTCATCTCCAATTGTATTGATTTGGGCCTTCTCTTTCTTTTGGTTAATTTGTCAAGTGTTTATCAATCCTGTGTATCTTTTCAAAGAACCAACTCTTTATTGATCCTGTGTATTGCTCTTTTAGTCTCTTATCTTATTCATTTCAGTTCCAATCTTATTTCTTTTCTTCTGTTGGGCTTGGCTGGGATTTGTTGTTGTTTTTCTAAGGCGTGGAGATATATAATTATTTTATTTGAGATCTCTCTGAGTTTTGATGTAGGCATTCATAGCTATAAACTTTCCTCTTAGAACTGCCTTTGCAGAATTCCAGTCTGGTATGTTGTATTTCCATTTTCATTTGACCATAGGCATTTTTAAATTTCCTCCCTGATTTCAACAACTCACTCATCATTCAAAAGGGAACTGTTCAATTTCCATGTGTTTCTATATTTTCTGTGTTTTCTCTTGCTGTTGAGTTCTAATTTCATACCATTCTGATCTGATAAGCTTCAAGAAATGATTTCAATATTTCTGTATTTGTTAAGGGTTGCTTTATAAAGGCTTAAAGTATGATCTACTTGGAGAATGTTCTGTGAGCTGGTGAGAATATGTATTCTGTACTGGATGGAAAGTTCAGTGAACATCTGTTAAATCCATTTTATCCATAATGTAATTTAACTCTAATGCTTCTTTGTTGATTTTTTTTTTTGGTCTGAATGATTTATCTATTGGTGAGAATGGGGTACTTAAATCATCACTGTTATTGTATTGGAACCTATGTGTCTCCTTATGTTTAGTAGTGTTTATGAATTGGTACATCAATGTTTGATATGCAAATATCTACAATTATTATGTCTTCTTGGTGGCTTTCATCCTTTACCAATATATACTGGACTTCTTTTCCTTATTTGATTGATTTTGTCTTGAAGTCTGCATTGCCAGATATGAATATAAGTACTGCTGTTTGCTTTTGGTTGCACTTGCATGAAATTCTGTTTTCTCTCCTTTCATTTTCAAGTCTTTGCTAGTGAGTTGTTTTCTTTGAAGCAGGAAAGAGTTAGGTCTTATTTTTGTTTCGTGTTGTGTGTTTGATGTTCTGGGCACTGAACCCATGGCCTTCTCAATGAGCTATGTCCACAGCCTTTTTTTTTTTTTTTTTTTTGAGACATGGTCTCACTAAACCGTTTAGTGGCCAAGGCTTGGTTCAAACTTGCAGTCCTTCTGCTGCAGCCTCCCAAAGTGCTGGGATTACAGACATGAGCCACCACACCTGGCTGGATCTTGAGTTTAATCCAATCTGCTAGTCTGTTTTTTGCTTGGAGAATCAAGACCACTTACATTCAGAGTTATTATAGAAAGACATGCACTAGTTCCTGTCACTTCTGTTATTTTTCTAGCATTTTATTCTTCCCTAATCTTTAAGAGCTGATCTATTCTTCCTCTTCTGTGTGCAGGATTCCTTGAAGTACCTTCTGCAACACTGGCTTAGTCATGAACTTCTTCAGTAAATGCTAGCCTTGGAATGCCTTTATTGCTTCTTCAATTTTGGAGGGTAATTTTGCTGAACATAGTAATCTAGGTTTGCAGTTATTTCCTTTCAGAGTTTGAACTACATCTTTCCATGCCTTTATGGCCTTTAGAGTTTCTCTAGAAATATCTGAAGTTATTCTTATAGATTTGCCTTTACCAGTGACTTGGTATTTTTCTCTTACAACTTCCAACAGTCTTTCCTTATTTTGTACTCTTCACATTTAAGCTATGTTACACAGGGAGGTTCCTTTCTGGTCGTGCCTATTTAGGGTTCTAAATGGCTCCAGTATCTGGGTATCTATATCTTTTCTAAGATTTGGGTAATTTCTGCAATACAATAAATAGATTTTGTATACCAGTACTTTGTACCTCAGCACTCTCTTCCACACAGAAAGTTTTAAAATTTGGTCTTTTCATTGTGTCCTACAGTTTTTGGATGTTTTGTTCATAATTTATTATTTTCTTAGTGTCTATGTATACTAATTTCTCAACTTTATCTTCAGCTCTTGCAATTCTATCTTCTGCATGGTCACATCTGTTGGTGAGGCTTTACCCTGAATTTTTTTTTTTTTTTAATTCAGACATGTCTTTATTTTGATGAAAGAGAATATCAGAGCCTGTTGTGTTCCACACTCACTTTTTGCTGTGTGAATGCTGAGTCCTGCTTTGCCTTTCCCACTAGGCAGGACCAGTCAAGGCTATATTGTCTGCCTCAGGACTGTATTAACTCCAGAGGTTTTAAGTGTTTGTTTGTGCCCTTCTGTGTACTCTGAGTCTCCATCCCTGACTAGCTTTGCAATCTGTGGGGTGCAAAGATCCCCTTGCTCCAGAGGTTCCCCTGTTCATATACCCGGGGATATGGCAAATGTCCAAGCAGAGGTATGTCACTGATCACATTGGTAAGTGGGGAAAGCAAATAGCCCACTGAGTTCTATACTGGAAGGAGAGTCAAGCAGTCCACTGGACTCAATCCTAGTACCTTCAGACACAGGGCCCCTCAGACCACTGTGTCCACCTGAGCTCACAGAACTAGTTCTCACTAGCCCTCTGCCTCTCTGAACTGTCTCCTCAGACCATCTGCCATCTAGTCACTACAGTAGGGTGACTACAAAGACCTTGAAGTATAGTTGTTCTGTAACTTCTGATTCCCTGGAGTATCTCAATAATAAACAATACACTCCATCTCAAAATGGCTCCTTATTACATTACTCTCAAATACGGTGAGCACTGCAGTGGATTTCTTTTCCTAAGTTAGCCTACCATGTGGAAGGAGCCAGTTTCAAGTTAAATACAACACTACAACTTTTGCTTAAAATAACCATTTTTTTTCCCCTGAGGCTAGCACTGCCGGACTACTGATTATCACAGAGGTTGGCCTTCTTTGAATTTACCTTGTGCTTATGGAGTCAGACTGTCCTTCCCACGAGCTGAAGTTAGCATATTCTAGAATTCTTTGTTCTTTTTTGCAGGGTGGGTTCTGTTTCTCCATGATTTTTTAGCTGTCCTGTTGGTCCTTTCTTGAACCCAAAAGCTCTTTTCCTCTTTCTCCTTGTATTTGCTTTCCATGTGTCTCAATTCCAGGTCCCAGAGAGGCTGTGATTCGTTGCCAGCTTCTCTACTGCCATTTTTGTTCTCTCTACCTGAGTTTCTCTACCTATGTGTGCGACTTTTCTGAAATGTCTTGTGACCTTTGCCTGTCCAGTCATTTAAGAAAAAGGCGAGGAAGATGTGTTTGGCATGCTGTACTTATGAGAAGTTTGTTTTGAAGTGGCAGGTAGAGAGGTGGTACCTCTACAAATACTAGACAGCGAAGATGTTTTTCCTCTGGTCTTTCAGTTTGTTAATACAGATTCCTACACTTTTTGTCATGGTTCTAAATAAAGAAAAGGGAGGAAAAAAGAGAAGAGATAAAGAAGAAATGCTCTGATTTTATACTTGGAGGCAAACTGTCAAATGCAGCCCCCTTCCACATCTCTTACTTGTGTTCTCTGTTGTCACTATGCTTGTGAAGTGTCAATCCTCTCCAGGGTACTGCAAAGCAAATTTGTTACCTCCCAGCCAAGTCCCCTCTGCGCTCTGCCTAAGGGCCCATCAGCCCTGTCTCATTTCCACTCTTGAATTGTTCTCCACCTTCCAGAAATGCATTACAATTATTGGTCCATTGGGGACCTCTTGCCTGTACACTCTGTCAGTGTAGATCCTTATTTTTATTTTCCAAATGCCTTTAATTTCATTTGATTGAGGTCTCCAGAAGGATAAGGGGTAAACCTGTACATTACCGTATTATCACTTACTGCCCTAAGCTTTATACATGTCTTATAGTTCTGCTACAGCTGACACTATAGATCCCTTTTCAGGCCCAGGACAGTAGAGAGTATCTGACCCAAGGACCACATCCCCATAGTGAATGTGCTGCTCTGCTCAGCAAGGTAGGCAGCACCCAACAGGAGCACATATGGCCATCTTGCCCAAGAGATCCTGGAAATGTTGTAGACCCAGCTTTAGGACTGTATTACCCAGAATAGCCCCACACACCTGAAAATAGTGGTGCTTACCATGGTGAAGGGCACAGGCATCTTCTAAGGATCGGATGAAAGCAATGACGTGCCATCATAAAAACGATTATACACATAGAATTTTTGACACAATTATTTTGGGTTGCAGGGAACTTGACAATCTACCACACTTCATGGAGCTTAGGTTAAAATCTGGGCATTATAATGTTGTTTGGGAGTGCTGGCCCTAAATAAGATATGTTGGATTGGATGTGACCCCATTTTGACAGTTATGAAATTTGGGGGTATGGTTATGCCCCCTGAGTGCCTCTGAAACTTCTAAGGCTGGTTTCTATAGGTTTTAGGCCCTGCCCAAAAGGTAGAAAAACAGGAGTGATTAGTAATATGAGTAAGGAGAACACATCTAAGGATGATGGCAAATAGCCTGTTAAATCATATTATTATTCATCTCTTGATGCACTCTGCTAACTATACACTTAAGTTCTCCTACCCAACCAAAGTTTTCTTCTGTTCTTTCTGTGAATTTGTTGGCTTCTTCTGCTTTTTTTTTCTCAGTTTGCTTCAACCTCAGAAGCAGAATGAAAAAAGCCATTCCTGCATCTCCAAAGGGGTCAAAACTTGTATGCATAAACCACCTCCAAGATCGCTAACTTTAGAACATGATCTTAGCTGTTCTGATGATGGACAAAACAAATATTAGGTACAATCTTCTGTCATGTCCAATCTGCACAGGGTCTCTTGGGATGAGACAAATCAGGCAGATTACATTGCATCCGATGGTCAGATTCCAGACAACACAGAAAAAGGATTCCAAACTTAGGTTCCTGAACTCTCCAGAGTCCACAGATGGGCACAAGGAAAAGGTGACCAAATTCCCCAAACTGTAAGCAAAAGCTGGTGTTTGTGTGCTTGTGGGCCTTATTCTGAGGTACATCCTCATCGTACCTCCAAGAATCAGTGGATTATCATAGGTAGCGACTGCCAAAAGGTTAAAACCCACCTACAGGAAAACAAAACAGGAGCAGAAACAAGGATGAGGATTCTGGAATTCCCTGAGAAACTTACTGTTAGGATGCCTCCATCCTGGCTGTTTAGTAAAGACAGGCACCTTCTGCTCAGCTCCTCAGCCCAAAACTATAATCACCGGGAAAAAGGAGAGTTTAATGTCCTGTGATTGAAATCCTCTGTGAAGCTTCTTCTGAGAAACCACACAGAACTACCCACTCCCTCCTGCCACATTCTGTCCAGATTTCTTCCACAAACCTTTCTTTGTTGCTCCTATTCTGTTCCATCATTATCTCCCTTAACTCTGGCAATACCTCTACAGCGGGGCCATATTTTATTTGACTTTGTAAATACAGCCCCTGGTGCTATGCTCAGCACAGCCTAGACATGCAGGAAGCTTTCTGAAGTAATACACAACTGATTAATCTTGTTCTCAGCACAGAGAAGTGACAGAGTGTCCCTCCTATCCTCTTTGCTGGTCCCAAGTCAACATGCTGTGTACAGTTCTATGCAACAGGATGTGTTCAGGTTGTTCCAGGGTAGCAAGGAGGGGGACAAGAGTGCACATACCTCTGAGGCAAAGGGGACCTGAAGACACAGGTTCATCATGAATCCCAGGAGTGTGTATATGACCTCTCTGTATAGGTCCACATCATCCTCACACTTGGCCTTGGAAACAAAACAAGGTAATCAATGACCTTGCTGCTTTGCAGCTTTCAAGGTCATCTTTTTCCTTGGACAAGGACTGCAGAGATACCCACATTCCCTAAATTTTGAGTGTCATGGACTTAAGTTATGGTGAAAGTGCACAGACCAGTTCCACGGGTCTAGGAGATATGAAAGGAGTCTCTGGGGTCTTTGCCAAGGTTCTCTGCCTCTTCCTGGCCCCAGGTAAGCTGCTGAAATGGATGATCAAGGCGGCTCCACAAGAAAATCCCACACATCCCTCTAAGGTAGGGAAGACTTGGTCTAGAGGGCTCTTTAAGTCCTGCAGCTCCCCGCAAAATCTATGGTTACAAAATGGATAATCCACTGGCTTCAGCACTATAAAAACTGAATTTTTTGGGAAAGCCAGATCGTTAATAACTGTCTTGGTTACTTTTTTCTTGCTGCTGGGACAAAATACCTGATGCCCAAAATTAAGGAAGGAAAGGTTTATTTCGCTTACAGTTCGTGGAAGTTTCAGTCCGTACTTGGCAGATTATGAGGCAGAGTGGCACATGGCAAAGAGCTACAGCTCAGTGCGGCAGAACACAGCCAAGCCGCAAGCACACACCAGGGCGGAATGGGGGAGGAATGACCTCAAGCACTCTCTTCCTCTCCCTTACATATGCAAACTATCCACCCCAGGGCGGGTGCAGCTCTCACACCCTTAATCAAACTTTAAAAGCCTGCCCCATGACCGCATGAGGCTTTGGGGGGACACACAGACATAAACCATAACAATAACTTAATGCCCCAAAGAGGATGAAAGACCAAATTTGAATAGAAGATCTAAAAATACCAGCAGGCCCAAACAGGCATCCCCAAATTCTTCACAGGCTGACATGTGTCTTCGAGCATCAGCCTGAGCGCTGAGGTTTCCCATGATAGCAATACATTTGCAGAGCGCTGAGGGGTTGGTTACCATGGGATCTCTCTTCTACAGTGAATGAAAAGAAAGCAAAGCCTTAGAGAGCAGAGCAATCTGTAAGAGTGGTCCTCACTCATCAAAGGGCTGGGAGCCAGTGATCTTCTCAATATGACCTGGAGATATTCATGGGGCCCCCTGGCAACAGGACAGAAGCACACAAGAGTGTGCTTGGCTCCTCCAACAACTAGCTGGGAGGCCTGGGTTAAGTCCCTTCCCTTCTCAGAGAGCCCATTTTCACAGTTATGAACTTTTGGGGTATGGTTATGCCCCCTGAGTGCCTCTGAAACTTCTAAGGCTCAATGGGCTCAGCGTGGTCTCCAGAAGAATCCTTACTATCCTCATCAGTAACAGCTTCTGTACCCGTCCTCCTGATGGGGGTGAAAATATTCTGCATCGCGACTGGACTGTTGGTGACTGCCAAACTCCCCCTTTCACATAAGATGCAGTTCACATGCAGTGTTTTCCCTTGTAACTAGCCCCATTCACGTGCTACCTCCTCCTGTCCTCCCTGCAGCTGTTTCAATAACTGAGAATGATGTAAATTCCACCTGCGAATAAATGATTAATCAACCCGAGAGGCAACGAGGGTTCGGTGGTGGAAACCACGTTTAAACAACTCTGCTCTAGCTCCCCGCATACCTGCCACAGAGGGCAGAAATGAAGATTTGCTCACCAGTACACCTGTGAGCACAGGGAGAATGCCTGAAAGGTTGGCCTGGAACCAGACTTGGAATCTGTCAAGAAAAGGTCAGCCAGGATTATTTGTACATGGCACAAGTGATAACGTAAATACAGGATCTTGGATACTGTAGAAAATAGTTATAAACCAGGCCTGTGTGACTTACAGCAGGCATGGGTGGTTCATTCTGACCTTCCTTCCATCTGAAGTACATAATAAGGCTTTAATTTTTCCAAGTCTAGAGAACTGTCTTTCATGCTGAGTGACAGATCTCAGGTGGCAGTTGTCTTAAGCAGAAGCTGCTGGAATCCCCTAGTCCTCTTCTGAGCTGACTGTGCACCTTTCTCCCATGCTGGGTTTAGACCACATGTGTGTGCTGTGTGAGGGCCCAGCTGCATACACATCTGCATGTGATAGGGCAGCAGTCCACACTTCCTGCACGTGCCAGCTGGCTGCTTGTGTGCGGGCACAAGCTGCTCCCCATTACATAACTGGTTCTAGGCAAGACCTTTAAAGTTTGTACGGAGATTTTTTAAAAAGATATGATTTTTTAAAAAAATAAAGAATTAAAAAGATCTAGGGCCTTTACCATCTTCCCCAGCAGCTAAGCAGAACTGAAACACAAAAACCAGGACAGGAAGACAGCCACCGGCACAATGCCACTGGCAACCCAAGGCTACATTTCACTGTTCATTCTCATTTGTTTATTTGCCCAAAATTTGCCAGGCACTGATTAAGAGGAGTTTCCCTGCCACATAGTAGGTGTGCTGACTATGAAAGGCACTGTTATAAGCAGTCACTACCTAGTACCTGCCAGGGATTGCATCCAGGAAGCCCTGGATACTGAAATCTCTGGATACTTAGTTTCCTTACATACAATGTCACAGCATTTGCATGCAGTCTACACAGATTCTCTTGCACACTTTATATCATATGTAATCTTTTGATTACTTACTGTTCCTATACAATGTAAGCACTAAGCAGTCCATGCATTGCATTGTTTGGGAATAAGAAATAAAAGTCTGTATATGTTCAATACAGACACATTTTTTCCACTGTTTTTGATCTATGGTTGACTGAATATGCAGATGTGGAGCCCATAGATACCAAGAGCCAACTGCATGTTACTGCTCCCAGACCCAACGAGGACAGGGTCATCCTCCACTCGGAGGGTCTGAGATAGAAGTGGATGATCACAGCCTCCTGGTAGACGTCAGCCCTCCTGCTCTGAATGCTATGTTGTTCAATCAGAGACTCGGCCTAGCTTCCCTGCATACTGCACATTTTTTAAAAAAATCAGACAACTCAATATAGGTGGAAGAACTATTAATTTCTGGGAGTAAAAGCATTACCTTTCTTCCAGAGCCAAGTCTGTGAGCAACCCGATGGCGGTACTGGCCTTCTTGTCTGAGAAGTCAAGAAATGAGAGCAGTGCTTCCAGCAATCTGCAAAACCCCACAAAATTCTGAGCGTGGGCTGCCTTCCAGCTACCTTCATCCCCATACAAGATAACTTTGCAAGGAGTCCAGGAAAGAGTTGGCACTGGGTGAGAGGAACTGAAAGAGTGGCCTAGCAATGCCTTCCTGGGAAGCCCAGCTCCTTGCCCACCCTAAAGAGATAGGCACTGCCCTTTTGGAATGGCTCCACTATTTAATGTGAATTCCCTGGGGGCTAAGCAGTGTCAAACAAACTTTAGTGTTTACTGATTATCAGACACCAGCTTGGAAGTGGTCTCTGGTGCCCTGGCTCCATCAAGTTCATTAAGTTAAATGACATCTAAATGTGACGCTTACTAATCTGCTGATGACTAAAGTGGGAGGGCCCCATAATAAAGTGGGTGAGGGAATCAAGGTTTAACAAGATCTTGACAGTCTGCTGAATATATCAGATAAAACTGAATAGTGTTAAACTCGGAGTCCTCCACTCAGAGGTGAAAATTCTGTGTCAGTAATAGAATTCAGAAAGCTGCTTTTGAACTGGTTGAAATGGAAAAAGATTTGAGTTTTCAGACACTGCAAACACAGTCTGGGCCAAGTCTGGTACCGCTGCCAGAAAAGAGCGAATGCAATCTCACGTTGCCCACGAGGATTTACTGGCACCTCAATGGGAGAAAAGTAATGTGCGTATCCAGTACTACTAAGATTGTACACTGTGCTGAGTACTGTGCTCAGTGTTGGCTTCCTGGTCCCTTACAATGACACATGTAAGTAATTAAGGAGATAAACTGTTAGGTGGTGTGCTAGAAATAGACGTATGTTTAGTGGGCCTCAGAGTCCACTTTGAAGGAGGTGTAAGGGGTTGGAGATGAAGAAACCTGCAGTAGCAGATGACATTTTGGACATCTTTTAAGAGAGTAGCATTAGCTATTCATTCACTTATTTGTCTAATTGATAACAATGAATGAGCACTGACCCTATATCAGGCCATATGGTGGCTGCTGGGGCAACAATCATCAAACAAGCCAATGTCCTGGCTCCAAGGAGCTTACAGGGCAGCGTGGGGGCAGGGAAAAGTATGTCAGGTAGAATTCCCTGAGGTGCTCTCAGTCCATGGGGTATCTTTAGGGGTTGCTGGCAGCTACTTATAGTTAGTGCTTCGGATGTAAGGGGAGGACAGGGAGTACTAAGCCAAGGGAGACAGACAGAAGCCAGGTCATGGTGGGCCTTTTACTGTCTGCCAGTAATGCTACAGGTCCGTGTTCTTCAAACTAGCTGGTAGATGACTGGTGGTGGTGGTGGAGGCAGGCAGGGATTTCTAGGCTGCTGTCAGTGTTGAGTAGTAGGAGGCTGCATTTTAACCACTGGAGTGACTATACTTTCACTCAGGAATTGGAGAAATAGTGTCAGGATGATCGAGAGTCATTTCAGCAGTTTAAGTAGAGAATTAACAGGGTAGATGTACGTTCTAGAAAAATCTTTTTGCCTAGTGGAGACCAGATTACAGCAGGCAGGCCAGGAAGAATATACCAGGGCACCACTGCCATTGTCCAGACAATAAGGGCTAAGGGATGAATTTCAGTGGCAGAATAAGAGCTACTATCAAAAAGGAGGCACTCAAAAACCAAGAAAAAATAACTAGAGATGGAAGAGAACTGAAGGAAATGATCCAGGTGATGCTAAGGAACAAGGACTGACAACCTACTATCTTGTGAAGGTGGTAAAGGGTGATCAAGGTCATCTCCAGGATCTGGCAGAAGCAATCTTCCTCTGCAAGAACAGGAAATCCAGGTAGAGATCTGATTTGAAGAACCACATTTTGGTTTCTTAGCTTATGATACTTGTGGATGTTGAGATAGAGATGTCTGGTAGCAGAAGAGTATTGTTATCTATCACCCAAGAGAGGGACTCAGATTCTGTCTCTTAAAGCCACAGATGAGAAGATGTCAAGGGTAAGATCCTGGAGTTTCTGACTTGGAACACAGGCAGCATGAGCGGGTTAGTGAAGCAGTCCTGGAGGAAAAAACCAGGGTAGAGGAGGCAGGCCAAGAATCCACATGGGCAGCCACAGATGTAGAATTTCAAGAAGGGTTGTGGTCAAGAGAACCAAATACCACAGGGCAGTCAAGAGAGACACAGAAAAGAACACACTGGACTGGTCACTTGGGAGTGTGGCATCTGGTGACTACTTCTAGAGTGCTGGATCTGCTTACCAATTGGCTCTAGGAGGGGCCCAGAAGATAAATCATCTGAAGAATGGTCAAGGGAACCAGGATGTTTAACCTGGAAAAGACTGGCATTTCAGGCCCTAAAACACTGGAAAATGCAAGGATTTGTTGCATTCTGTACGTCTCCCATCATCTGGCCCAGAATGCTGTGGGGCAGGCAGGCTGTGTTCAGTGTAAGGAGATGACATCCATTAATTAGTACTGCTCCCAATGTGGAAGGGCTGCCTTGGGTGTAAGCTCCATATCCTCACTAGCTGGAAAAAGACCCTTCAGCTTATGAGTTGTTAGTGTCCATCCTGAATCAGAGACAAATACAATGAAAACACTGGCTCCTCCCCAGGGAGGTGCATACATAGGCTATGCTAGGGTGGCAAAATGGGGTCCATCTGTGCTGTGTAGGCTGGGCATTCAGTTCTCCAAAGTTCACGTAATTCCATGCTTCTGCAAATCCCTGACGTTTCAGGAGTGTACTTCTGTGTTCTTAATAATTTGTTCTAGAGTTAATTCAGATTGCTCCTCTACCAATTTATTTTCTTGGTCTTGAGGGTGAATGCCAAAGAACCTGAACAGCACAGAGAATGAGACCACAGTCTGAGATCAGCTGGGCTTTGTCTCGGCAGATATAAGCAAGTAGGCTCCCTCAGAGTGTGATAAAACACTCATCCTAAGCACACCCAATACCTGAAGTGGATGGTGTGTCCCTTCCTAGCTCCTCTTGCTCAGAGGTAGATCTTATGCTGTACGGACAAGCAACGATCCCTGTGTGTGGACTACCGGTCAGAGAATGGCTTTGGGTAACCAAAAAATGCACTCCCGCCTCAGTTTAGGGTCCTAAACAACATAGCCTGAAGAAAGACAGTGATTATAAGTTGAGTTCATTCCAAGTGGCAGGTGTGATACTGGTAGTTTTTCTTGCTGTGCCTGCGACTGTGTTTATGGCTAACCCCAGAGGCATTCCTACTCCTTTCCACTCTGCCTGACTCTACTATAGAAGTTGGGACCGTTTTCCCCACAAAGGATAGCATGTGACACAATTCTATTCATACAGACATAGGCAGTTACTTTTCTTAATAAAAAAAGGATGGATCCACTGGTGCTGAGCCATCTTAAAGAGAGATGTGCAGCTTGGTGCTGCAGCAAGGGGCGAAGGTGTGAGCATGGGAAAGGCTAAGGGTAGGAGAAGGACAAAGACCTTGTTGACCTTGACCTCCTTAAATCACAACTTACTATGTTTATTCTTTTCTTGTTATGTGAGAAAATTGAGCCAGGCTCTCAACAATTCAAATTTCAACTGACATGGATACATCATCCCTCTTAAACCAGGAGACACTGGGCCTCTTAGGGCTAAGTAGCTTTACTAGGTCATATAAGTAGCAAGAGACAGGCAAAAGAGTCAAGTTCAGGACCTCCTGAATCTAAAAACCCTATGTTTTCCAAAAAGTGACACTAGTCCTTGGCTTGTTCTTGTGAGCACAATTCATCCCTTCAACCCCTCATAAGAGGGGAACATTTTGGGAGGAATGTGACCTGCATGTCTCTGTAAGATTACGGACTTTTAACAAGATGAGATCACAGTTGTTGAGTTTTTGTAGTATTTCCCATGAAATCAGGGTTTTGTCTTTGCCTACACCTACATCCTCAAGAGTTCTACCTCCTACCTCCTATATAATGGAATAGTACTCAACCATAAAGGATAAACTAGAGACATTTATAGCTAAATGGATGGACCTTCAGACTAAACTCTTAAGTGAAATAAATTTGACACGTGTGTAAATATCACACTGTTTCTCTGGTGTGAGAAACTGAAAGTGTAAATAAGAACCAGGATGTATAATAGATATTGTGAGATAGGTAGAAATTTTTCAAAGGAAAGGGGAACTAGGGAGAGGGGAGGAGAAAAGAAAAGAAGGGAAAAAAATGAGAAAAGAAAGATAAGATGGAAACAAAGCTTTGTAAATAAGAGTAAGAAAGGTTGAAGGGAGGGGAAGGGAATGGGAGAGAAAAAGGAATTGTAATACACTATGTACAGTACAAATTCCCTATGATGCATGTGGTCATTATGTATGTCTAAATTATATCAGTAAACTTAATGAAAGAGTCGTGGGATTGGAGGCTGCCCTGTCCTGCTTCAAACCACGTCATTTCATTACACAGAATCCATTACATTCCCTTCCAGTTTAATTGGAGACGGGCATTAGCAAGACTAGTGAGCATAAAAGTAATAAGCCGACATTTCTCTGACTGTCCAAAGAGAGCAGGTAGGACTACATGAAGTCATCATAAATACCATTCTTCAAGACAATGGAAAAATTCAAACTGAAACTCAAGCAATTCAAAGATAGCTTGGGGGAAAACACTTGTGATAACTGTAGCTACACTTACTCAAAGAGACAGAAATCCAATTAAAAAACCCTAACTGAGGAAGGTACTGAGGAAATGACTGCTGAGTCATTACAAAAGTGATGTGCTTTTGGAGGATCTAACTCCTCTAACGATGCATCCTCCTGGATAACAGACGTTCAGCGGGCTACCAAGGCCTATGTGGGGAGCTGCTGGCACCGGGGTTAGGCTCAGTGGAGGAACAAAGTGGGCCTCAAGGAGCACTCTGTCTGGTTTAAACATCAAGTATCCCCCAAGGCTCATGTTTTGGGGCTTGATCCCCAATGCTGCAATTTTCAGAGGTGAGACACAGAGAGGTGGTAAAATTGTGAGGGTGCTGCCGATCTCACTGGTAAGTGAACCTGCTGATGAATTAGCTGAATACAGCATGAAGGGGTAGGGCCCAGCTGGAGGAAGTAGGTCAGTGGGCTGTGTCTTTGAAGAATGTATCTTCTCCCAGGCCCTGTCCTCTCTCTCTGGCTCTTTTCCCCTCTCTCTTATTCCTCATCACCACGAGATGAGCAGCTCTCCTCCGCCTCACCCTTCTACCGTGTTTCTGCCTTGCCACAGGCTGACATCAATGGCACCAGCCTGTTATGCACTAAATCCTCTGAAGCCATGAGCCAAAACACACCTTCCTTCTTCTAAGGACATTTTCTCAGGTATTTGGTCACAATGATTTTCATCTAACACCAAATTTTCACCAACACCAACATTAACAAGTGGGAGGGCTCAACTTGATCTGAGAAAGATCCTACACAACTGCAGGTGTGGCTCCTTCTCTTGTTCCTAAGGAATATACACCACGAAGACAGCTGGGTGAGATTTCTTCCTTCTCTGCTGCAGCTTCTGCTGTCCCATCTGTGAAATGGAATAGTAACAGTGGCCTTGCCTACTCCACAAGATGAGGGGAGATAAAGTTGCAGCGAGAAAAACTGTACATTATGTATGGAATATTTATAAAGCAGGCTATCATAAGTGTTACTATTCCACTAGGTTGAACTGCTTGCATCTTTCTGATCCCAAAAATGGCAATTTCATTAGGTTCAAATCATGAGAGACATGAGGAGGGGAGATGGGCCAGTCTGAAATTGGAAGATAATGACTGGAAGATAAGTAGAATTAAAATTTATAAAATAAATCAGTAAACTAAGGAAAGAAACAAAGTAGACATAAACTGAAAAGAAATGCGCAGAATCATTGTGGTCTGGGTAATGTTTTAGAAAGTCTCCTTCAGAGAGAGCAACCTACTCCTGAATGCTTCAGCCTTGGAAAGATCTCCACACAATAGCATTTATTTATTCATTTACACTCTACTTCGTTGCAGAAAGGGTTTAAAGCTCTGCAAAATCAGATGGCATTACTTCAAGCAGGAATGAAAGAGGAAACAAAAGGGTAAGATTAGGATGGAGCCAGGCCTAAGGTTAAAAGCATAGAAGCAAGTGACCCATTTCAAGGCTGGGTTTCACATCTGGCTACAGAAGTGCTGCCTAGACACCATCTACAGCATCTGTGAGACAGACATGCCACCTGTGCAGACATGAAACTACCCATGGTACTGAGTTCAGGTAGGAGCTGGTCCTGGAGGTCTGCCTGACAGCATCCCTTCCAAGGCTCTTTCTGCTCTTGATCATTCATAACGTCTGATGGCAGCCCATACATACAGACATGAGGAGGGAGACGGGCCAGTGCGAAATTGTCTTAGCAAGCGATGACCCAAGACTTTGTGAGAAACACCCTTCCAGCAGAACCTTACCGGGGCATGTCAAGGTGGCTGATGACCAGGCTCCGTCCACGCTCAGTCTGCGTGAGCTGCAGCAGCAGGGTGAGGCTCTGCTGCTGGACGGCCATGAGTTTAGAGGCCAAGAGCGAGGGCACTAGCCTGGCCACATCGGGGTGCAGCACAAGCAGACGTTGGTTCTCCTCTGCAAAACACAATTGTGGCCCTTCAGCCAGTTCTGTCTCCTACTACCCTAATGGGAAACTCTTCTCTATTCATTTCAGGAGCAGGATATGACTGGAAGAGCAGGACCCTAGAGCCAGCCTGCTGGGTCTGACTGAGCAGGGGAGTAGCCTTGGCAAATTAACTCCTGTGCCCCTCCATTTCCCCATCAGTAAAATGAGAATGATAACCCACCCACTAGAGTTGGTAGAGGACTCAATACATGATCATACCAGGCAGGGACGGGCACATACAGATGGACTATAATGTTATGATTGTCAAAAGGTTCTTTGGTACGTCATATCCGGAAATGGGAGCAAAGGGAAAGAAATCAGCTTAATTATAATGCATCGTTAAAAAATTAGTCCTCACATAATGGCCAGTGTGATCATCTGAGTTTTTTCTAGGAAACTAGCGTGTTACCTGAGAATATTCATTAATAAACCATGTCTTCCTTCCTAAACTATTGCCTTGGTTACTTTTCTCTCGTTGCTGAGACAAAATACCCAACGCCCAAAGTGAAGGAAGGAAAGGTTTATTTAGCTTACAGTTTGTGGAGGTTTCAGTCCATACTTGGCTGGCTCCGAGGCAGAAGATAGCAAAGCAACAAGAGCAAAGGGGGGAATGGCAGCTGAACAGCAAACAGCCAGAGCAAACCGGAGGAGGAATCGAGGCAAGCAGCTTCTTTTTCTGCCTTACTTTGTAAACAGACTACCCCCACCTAAGGGGCATGTAGCTCTCACATAATTTCCATGCCCTGTTCTTTCACAGGCTCAGGATGTATACAAAGTAAGCACCCTGGCTTCCTGCTGAGTCACTTAGCCAAACCTCTGGACTCTCCAAGTTGACACAATGTATCAACCATAACAACTATGAACTACTTCCAGGGTGGTAGCATTGGATTTACCCTTTTTCACCTGCTTCTGAACAAGTACTTGAGAGCCGGTAGGGACACAGGATGAGACTGAGCAGTGAAATTGGGCAGAGCAAACTAGATCCTGGTGGAAGGGGACATGTCACCTGGGTCTCCTTACCCTGGGCTTTCTCCCCATGTATACGTTGCACAGAGTGGTCAAGAAGAGGAAACAGACCTCAGCTCTTCCAGCCCTAAAGAGTCAAGACATAGGACTACTGGAAAAGTAGTCTGTTGTAAATAATTCAGACAACACAGAAGTAGTACCAAGCTAAAAATGAAAGTCTCCTTGTCTGGTGCCTCCTCTAGCTAGGACCATTCCCTGATGAGCTATATTATTCATCCCACTGTAAGAATAATATTAAAAATACTATGCATCCTGCTCTGTAATTGGCTTCTCTCTCCCACTCAGCAAACCAACATCAACCTATTTTCACATTCTTACTTTTAAGTATTCCCTTGTCCTTTTTAAAAGCTGCTTTGTATTTACTGAACTAGATATATCAAAATTTCACGGGCCTGAGATACAGGCGTATATCCTAGGTCGTATCGGACCATATTTTTCAGATGTTTAAAAATACATAATTCTAAATTCACAGAAAGCAGAGTCAGTGGGTGACTGTGGCAGGTTCATAAGGCGTGAAGAGGCCAGCACCAAGTCCTGTCTTCCTCCCTCCGCAGGAGGCTTTGTACACACAGCCCAAGCCATGCGGGTCCTATCCAGAAGAGCATAGCACCCAGTTGATTCTTCTATGCAGGTGCCCCTTAGGAAATAAGCCTGCTGACTGTCTATAATTTTCTAGTTTATTTTCTTAAATTCTTGATTCTCCCACTCTACTAAATAAGTACAATTGTGTTACACTCAATATTTTATAGTATATAAACTGTATTTGCAGGCTCTGCCCCTGGCTTCCCAATTAGTACTGTGGCAAGGACACACATCTATCATTATTCCTATTTCCAGTGCTGTGTGTTTTTAAGGAAACACACTTTTTTAAAATGAGAGGAACACTAAAAATCTTTACTTACACTGAAGTCACAAAGATGATTAAGAAAGATTACACAAGAGCTTAATGAACTCCAGAAAATGCTTCCATGAAACAGATTTAAGAGCTGACATGGAAAATAAAACTCCCTGCAGCATTCTGCTGCATCCCTATCAGACAGCAATCACTGTCGACAAATACTGGCTGGCTGACAATCCTACAGCACAAATGGGTATTGTGCTCAGCAAAAAGATTGTTAGGCAGATAGGAAATGAAACGCTGTATCCATCCCATTGATAGCACAAGAGCAGACATGGTGAGTCTGCAGAGGGAGCCCAGGTGAGAGACCTCCTGTCATGCTACAGCCCACAGTCTCTGGGAAGCTCTTCAGCCACACAAGGCCCAGATGGAGAAATAACTGCTCTGCAGACCTTGTTTTGGATCCATGTGCTTTTTGGAAGGAGGAGTGTGTGTGTGTGTGTGTGTGTGCATGTGTGTGTACTGAGGTCTAGAACCATCTTTCTAGGACTTGGTTTGAGGGGAACAATCATGCCCAACCATGTAGCTCAAGCATCTCCAGCTTGTTACTGGTGATTAAGAATCACACGTAGGCTCACCATTCTCACTGCACACCGCTTGCCAAAGCTTAAGAACGGTCACACAGACTGTCTCTTCAATCACGTCTTTTTCCGCCGCGGAAAGGCACCTACAATGGACATGGAGAACAACGGGAAATCTGGAAGTCAGTCTCGATTTTCTTTTTCCTGGGTTTTATTTCATACCTAGACTCGCCGGATGCCAGTTTTCAAAAATAATTTTACAAGTCAGAGTCACAGGGCATCAGGGTGAAAGGCCTGGCAATCATTGAGCCAACAGCTCCAGGGTAAGTCTACCAGCTGGAAGGAGCAGGGTAAAGGTTGTCTGAAAGGTGGGCGGTGAGCTGGGTGCCATGGTAGAGCTGGACATTCAAATATGCGCTGGCAACGCTAGCCCACATCAGAATCTTAAGCCTCAGGAATCATGCCAGGTACACAATTGAAATATAAAATAAAACAAAATTTAATAAACCTCTTCCTACTATATGGACCTTTCTCCAGATGAAATCTTAAGTGGGATCAGCCAGGACCCAGCCAATTCTACTTTCTCTATGAGAAGTAAATTCAAAAAGAGAAAAGGAACAAACAGAAACCTTGCAAAAAAACCTGGTGGAAAACCATTACTTCCCTGACTCTGAAGAGCCTGGAGGAGCCTGCAACAAGTTGTTCCTCTAGGTGATAGGTGCACATGACTTAATCAACCCAAAGCATCAAGCTCAAGGGTATTCACATGACAGCCTTACGTCCTGGAGGGGCCACCTCCGCTGACTGAGGGCTGGGACAAGGTAATGCCACTGCTTGTGCAATCAGCATCTGGCTTCACAAGAAATGAATGTCTTTCCTTGCCTTGACATAAGCTGTCTTTCCAAACACCCCTACCTTCTTATGGTCTCGTTGTCGCTGATGATGCTGAACCCATTGTGCGTTCGGAATAAAGTTTGTTCTGTGCCTGAAACAAATTCACAGGAAACCACGTCAGGCTCCTGAACTGGCTGGCTGGCGTCAAGCTGCAGTGCAGTCAGCTAGACTGAGAATCCTGATATTACATTAGTGTCAAGGATACTAAAGGAACAAATACCTTTAGGTTCTGAAAACAATGGTCACCAGCCATTCAGTGCGTGAGTTAGAGGGATTACTTGGCGGAGAGCAGAGCTGCAGTGGCCCTGGAGTTAGTGGCACAACTCATCGCTTTGCAGTCTCTGGAGAGCCTCCAGGAACTGCTTAGCCTCTGGAAAACACTGCCACTCACATCTGTTCTGAAATATTTATTTTGAAGTTTCCAGGCTCCAGGAAGGAATCTATAATCACCAAAAAACTGCTGGAGAGGATATGAGCGCAACCGCTCTTGTACACTAAAGGGAAGTCAGAGGCCCCATCCATGTGCACACACCACAGTCTATCAATGAGCAACAAGAACTGTGTAAGCCCTGGCATCAGTGTTCACAGGAAATGGTAAGGTTCTCATTAGGAGAAGGGGAGCTGATGTGTCCTGGAAATTATTTTCACACTTTAAACAGCCATTCTGTGTCATGTGAATGAACCTTACAGTTTATCCTACAAAATTCTGCCTTTTGTTTCTTTACGAGGAGGGTGTAGTGTTTGGGGCGAATGTGGCAGTGTCGGGTGTGGGATGTGTGTGGGATGTGTGGCGCATGGGTGAAGACTGTGTGTGTAGAGTACATACATTTATATAAATATGGTGTGTGTGCTGTGTGTGAGGAATGTAGCACGTGTACGTCATGTACATGTGACAGGTGACTAAATGTTCTCTGTGAGTGAATCCTCTCTCTGTGTGAATGTGTGTGGTGTATATCATAAGAGAGCAGATATAAATATGGTATGTGCTGAAGTTTAAAAAGTTTACTATAGTACAAGATACATTGCAGTAAGACCCCTCAAACTACTCCCCCTCCTTCAAACACTCGTATATCATTGTCCTTTTGACTTTCTAAAGCAGTTCTGGAAATCCTCTTTCATTAGTGTCTTCAAAGCTAAGATCAAAAATCTGGTCAATCCCACTGCCAAATGCCGTCCAACAGAAAGGTATTCTCCTAAAAACATCATGGTGCGTCCTCACCCACGTTCACTGGGTCTGGCACTGAACAACTTCTGGTTCTGTTCCAAAGTCAAAATGCCCATGAAAGGTGAATGTTTCGATTCAATTCAGGACACTGAGTCAGGCACGACAGGCAACTAAAGACATAAATGAGCACTTCCAGAACTGCCTCAGAAGGCGGCAGGAATGGTGGGAGAAGTGTGTTCTATGTAAGGGGGAGTATTTTGATGAGAACTAATGGCAATGTGTCTTTCATTGTAATACTTTTTTATTCAATAGCACAGCATATATGGCGTGTGTGCTCTGTGTGCATTTTGTGTTGCGTGTGTGGTGTTTACTGCATGTGTGCTGGGCGCATGCATGCTCTGAAGGGAGGACAGGGAAGGAAGGGGTGGGGCGTATTTCTTGTGCACCCTTTAGCACCTATGTTACAGCAGAACTTCAGTTAGTGCTTGGAGAAGGAAATGAGGGATTCTTCTGCCTCTTACAGCTGACCCCCACCCTGTCCCTTCACACTGACAGCACTCAGGAGCTCACACCCATCTCTGGCTTACAATCCTTCATCACATCGGTGAGGATCTCCATTCCCCCTGCATAGAACAAGGGCGTCTGGTCAGGCTTAGAAAGCGTTTCCAGGAGGTTTTTGGTTGTCACAGCTGTGTTCTTTCCTGAATCCAGTAATTCATGGGCTTCTTTCTCTTGGAGGTCTGCCTTCTCCCGGAGATCTACTTGGTGCACATATTCTGGTAACACAAGCAGGAAACACACAAACCAGGCAAAGCCCTCACAATCAACAATACCACACAAGAAGTCACTCAACAATACTTCACAAGATCACTGTTCCTTCCCCACTTCTTTTCTTTTCTTCTTTTCTCTCTTTTGGAGGTTGAAAAGCATAGAGAATTAAGATAATCTGAACACTTCTTCAGCACAAAAAATTTAAACAAAGTCATGCCCTATTCTTAAACCGTTGTGGAGATTCAGAGCAGTCTGGAACACTCAATGGGAGCCTGGCACAGAGAAAAGGAAGGCAGAACACTGGAGTGGGAGAAGAATGGGAGAGGAGTAGCATGGGCCTCTTCACACAGGGGGCGGCTTGCATAGAAAAAGGAAAGGTGTTGTCTTGTGGCTCCAGGCAGAGAAAGTAGGAAGACACCCAGCAGGGAGGAACACAAAGGGAAGTGAAGTTCAGAAGAAGGGTACCAGCAGGCTCATTCTCACCTTTCACCTGTGTCTGCAACTTGGGGTTTATTTCTGAGATCTTCTGATAACACTGTCTGGACTGGAAAACAGAAACAAGACCTTGAAGGGTGGTTAGGGGGTAACCGTGATTACAAGAAAGACACGGGGCATCATAGCACTTGGCTTCTTTATTATTCCACCTGGCTTCCTCTGGCTCTCGGAGCAGGCGGTAGGCATGGAGAACACAGTGTGTATCTGACGCTTTGTGTAGGCTTTTTCGGTTCTGTGCAGCAATAGGTATTATTTCAAAGCTCATTCTAAAAAATTATGTTGCCAGACACAGACTGTGATGAAAAATATATCCAGTCCTAAATTTATGGCTCGTGTCTGTCTGGGATAGGAATAATCAAAAGGTAAATGCAAAACTTAGACATGATGTTTGCACTAAGACAGATTAGAAGGCTACTTGTTCGATATGTCTAAAGAGAGGTGAAAATAAATGAAGCTGGAGACACTGTGACTCAGGAATAAGAAACAAGAACAGCCGAGTTAAATGTACACCCTGCAAGACAGCTGCAGGGGTCCATTCACTCACTGACCTCTCTGCCTCAGTTGGAAAACTTGAAAGGGAGGGGCCCTCATAGAGGAAACTTAGACAAGAAGTTTCTGGAAGAAGAAAGATTCCAGTTCATGGGGATTTCTGAGCTAAGGCAGCATTGCCCATAAAGATATAAGAAATGCCCAGCACATAATACAACCAGTCACCAAGGAGAAAAAAACTGAAGAAATAAAACTCAAACAGTTCAAAGATATCTTGAAGGTTCAAGGCCCATCTAGAAGCCAGATTAAGAAATGAAGAAAAAAAGTCACAGTTATCAAAGGGGCATGCTGCAGAATAGAAGTGTATACACTGAACCTAACTTCTCTTCAACACCAAATCCAATTTATTAGCAATTTTTGGCTTTACCATCAATATATACACAGAATCCCATTACTTCTTATTATACCCATCATCACCACAAGCCACTCCTATTTGGATAATTTATTTTAGTCTGTTTTTCTAATTGGTTCTCTGTTCTTATTTTGCCATTCAAAAAAATATTCTCATACACATGTCAAAGTAATCCTTTAAAATATAATTTAGGTCATATCAGTCTTTGTTAAAACCCTCTAACGGCTGGAAGATCACTCAAAGTAAGAGCCCAGGCCCTCTGAAAAACCTCTGAACCCTCTAGAATCAGTCCCATACTCACTCCAACCTAAAGTCCTTGAAGAAAATAATATATTTATGAATAAATGATTAAAATCACACAAATGGAGAAAGAATACTCCCTTCACTAAATGATACTGGACAACTGAGTATCCACATGCAGAAGAATGAAGCTGAATCCTTACCTCACACCACATATAAAGATTAATTCAACATGGACTAGAGATCCAAATGTGTGAGCTAAAGCCATAAGACTCTTAGAAAAAAAATAACGATAGGCATAAATCTTCATTTTGGGCCACCAAAAGCTCAAGTAACCAAAGAAAAAAATAGACTTCCTCACAATGAAAGAATTTTGTACTATGAAGCATACCATCAAGAAAGTGAAAAAGGCAGCATACAGAATAAAAGACAGCATCTGTAAATCATGTATCTGATAAGAAATTTGTATTCAGAATGTATGAAAAGTGTTTAAAACTTACTGTAAAAAGACAAAAAAACTCACTTGAAAAGGGGCAAAGGATCTGAAAAGAGGTTTCTCCAGAAAAGATACAAATGGCCAATAAGCACATGCAAAGATCTCAACTTTGTTAGTCATTGGGGAAGTACAAATTAGCATCACAATGAGATGACATTCACTGGAATAGATGTCATGAAAAAGAAAGATAATACAATGCTGTAAGTCTGGGACCTACAAACATCTGAGCTGCAAACTTTCACAGTTGTGAAGAGACCTCACATTACACAGATGCAAACAAACTGCAGAAGTGGCTCATGTGTGTGGCGGACATTGTCACAGTTGTGCTGCTGTGTCCTTCCTGTACAGTGTGATTGTGTACAGTGGCACAGTGCTCAATCAGAGTCCAGGATGTCTGGAGGCAAGAGGTAAAACAGCGGTGATGTGGTTTGTTTTTTTATGCTTTACTGTACATTGCATATTTATGTCAAAGGTGTATAAGACTCATTTTGTTGGGACTTACAGTCAAGTCTAACTTACGAGAACAGAACTCATTCGGGACTTACTGCACAGGTCCCAGAAAAGATGTGAAGCAACTGGGTCTCTCATAAACTGCTAAAAGAAATGCAAAATTCAAAAAGCTGTAGCCACTTTGGAAAATAGTCTGGCAGTTCCTCAAAAGGTTAATGAAAGAGTTACCACAGGCCCCAGCATTTCTACTCCCAGATATAAACCCATGCAAACTGTAAACATAAAAGTACTGCACATGAATGTTCACAACTGCATTAGTCATAATAGTCAAAGAGTGGGAACAACCCACATGTCCATGGGCTGATAAATGGTTAAATAAAATATGGTACATGCATACAATGGCATATTATTAGGTAATAAAAAGGAACGGAAGACTGATATATACCATGACTTGGATGAACCATGCAAACATTAGAATAAGTGAAAGATATCGATCATAAAAGAGGACATATTATATGATTTTATTCACTTAAAAGGTCCAGGACAGGCAAATGTGTAGAAGTGGAAAGGATAATGGTTGCCTAAGGTTGAGGCGTAGAGGAAAAGAATGGTTGTGAATGACTGTGGTGACGGCTGTCCAACTCTAAATATACTAAAAACCACAGATTGTACACTTTCCACAGGGGGCTCAGTCACTTTTCTCACTGGTGGGGCAAAACACCCAGCATCTACAACTTAAGGAGGACCGGGTTATTTTGGATCATAGTTCAGAAATTTCAGTCCATGTTCAGCACCCTTAAACACAGAAATGGCATGGTAGAAGGGCCTAGGCACAGGAAAGTGCCTCATGTCAGTGCAGCCAGGAAGCACAGAGAGAGAAAGTCAAGGCTCCAGGGAGGGAAATATAACCCCCCAGGTCATGCTACCAATGACTCACCTCTAACCAGGCTGCAACTTCTAACAGCAAGTCAGTTGTAGCACCCCGATAATTCAGTTGCCTTCCAAAAACTCCGCTCATGAGTACATGACTTAAGGGGACATTTTTAACCAAAACTATAACAACAGGTAAACTGCATGGTGTTTGAATTGTATCTCAATAGAGCTGTTATTAACAACATGTAATGTCTTAGTATATATACTTGGGCTTTACTTTTGGGTGATGCGATTACAAGTGAATTTCATTTTTTCTCTTTCCTTATGGTTTTTCTTTCCAGAAGTTGGAGGAGGACTGGTAGAAAATGCTGCCAAAGAAATTCCTACATCTGGAAGGGTTGTACTAGTGGACACCAATATCCTGAGATTTACCTTGGAAAAATATGAAAGGGAGGAATTACATCAAATCAATTTGGAGGCCAGGGTTCTCTTCTGGAACAATCCAAAGTGATACTCTGTGGTCAAGCATGCACTGACATCCCTTTAAGAACTCACCACACTGTAGTTCTTCAGAGCCAGGTGGGCTTTTCCCATGTGGAAATATGCTTTTGTGCATTTTTCATCACACTGCATAAGAGAGAATAACTGATCAGATGTTTCAGAAGACTTGAAGCCATTAGGTACTTCCCTACCTGCCTCATTAATAGAGTGAAGGCAGCATTTCGGTTTTCAGGACAGTACCAGACCTGACAATTAAAACTTTCTGTGCATCTGTAACAAAACTAAATGATGCCTGGGAGGAGTCTGGGTGTACAAGGAAGCTCTCTATCAAATTAATGATACCTGCCACTTTTCAGTTCTATTTAATGAGGCTCACTGAGGAAGCAAACCAGAAACCCTTACTTTAGAAGAGCTCTTAATACTGCATGAACATTAGAATCACCCAGGCTGCTCATGAAAATTCTGACCTTGTAAAAATTAAGTTATTCTCTAGGGAAGAGTCTAGGAATGAATACTTTTTAGTTCTCAGGGGATGCAACTGTACACCCACATTAGAAAACTAATGGTTTATTAGAGAGTAAACTGACTCCGGGCAAGCAAGCTAGTGAGGTGACCAGCACATTTTCGTGGGCCCAAGAAGTTCCCACTGTCAAATGAACCACAACACGTACACTGGATCTTACATTTGTATCACCTTAGATCAAGAGTGAAGCCGCTTTCAAAACTCAGGGTTAAAACTCATCGTTCAGAGTATGTTATTCACATAGGGCATCAGTAGGCACCTGGTGTCGGACCCTAATTATTATAACTGAGGGAAGCGATTTGGCAGAGTCATTGATTGAAAGTTAAGACCGCCAGTTAAGTAAACTTTATGGAATCTCTTTTAGGTCCAAGGCACTATGCCTGGTCAGGTGCTCTTTAGAGTTCAGACTTAAGGTGATAAAGCTCAAAAGTCTAATGTGTCCTGGATGAAACTTTATTCTGCCATTCATCAGAAGTGGATGTTAGCCAGGATATCTAGATGGGTGCATTTTCATGTACATTATTTCCTGATTCACTGCTAAGTGAATAGTAGTAGTAGTAGTAGTAATAGCAACAGTAATAATAATAATAATAATAGTGCATGATTGTTCAGTCCATTTCATGTGCTAGACACTGAACTTGAAGGTTCATAGGAACCACCAAATAAAAGGTTTATGGCAACTCAACAAAGTAAGTACGATTACTTACAGATGAAGAAACTAGAGCTGGAGAGGTTCAAGATCACATGAACAGTAAGCAGAAGAGCTGGAATCTGAAATCTGGTCATTTGACTCCAGGAACCAAGGACTTAATACTAAATCCCTTTCAGAAATATCCTATAGGAAAAAGGTACGTAGATATTGTAGGGAATGCTATTCCAGAAGTTCACTTGAAAGAAGTCTGTTCCAAAGAGATGCAGTCTAAAAGGGGGCATGTAAAAGTGGAGGGATCTGAGCTGGATCCTGAGTGATGGGAGAAGTAATAAGAAGTATAGGGGAGGAGCTGAGAAAGGTCCTCAGGTGGGAGAGTCCAAGGGCTGTTGTGGATGGCCCTGCTGGGACTGGATGGTGGGAAGCAGCTGGAAAGGGGGACCTAAACCTTACTCCACATGGAGGCCCTGAAAGCCAGGTAAGAGAAGGGTGTCATCAATGGCAGTGTTGAGGTAAGTTGGTCTAGAGGCTGAGGCAGACCTAACCACAGTAGGAAAAGGCAGTGAGTTGAGCAAGGAAACCAGACAGTTGCTTGGCCCATGGGCTGATGTCGGAAGTCCTGGAGACAGTACAGACACTAGAGCTATGGCATAAAAAGACTAGCACCAGCTAAAGTAAGCGATAAGGGTGAAGGAAAATGTAATGTCAAAACCCAGGGTTTGGATGTCCAGAAAATATGGGGTGGCACTGACAGAAAGAAAAGAGGTCAGAGAGGGCAGGGCATGGAGAACATGAGAGCTGGCTTTAGACACGCTGAGTGTCTGATGATGACAAGACAACTGGATGAGAGCCTGTGGGAGGAGGCTGAAGTGCAGCTCTGGAGCCAGGGGAAGGGGGCGGGGTCCTAGGGAAACAGGTGTGAGAGGCATTTGCAGAGATAAGAACTAAACCCATGAGAGGAGATGAGAGCCTTAACAGAGGGAAGAAAAGTAGGAAACAGGTTCATAAGCCTGGACAATTCCCCAAAGATGAAACATGGGAAGCAGGAAAGGAAAGGTCAGAGAGAAAAGAGGAAACTCCAACAGGTCAGTTCAGGAGAGCCAAATGCCCACAGAGCACCCAAATACCCACTGAAGGCCTCAGCCATGCCTACTGTGTCATCGTGAAGTGCTGTAGCTGTGCCTTCACCTTCCTCCACACCAATATAAAAGGCCGCTTGCTAATGGATTTTCTCTCCACTGATGCCACTCTCCTTTAAGCATATGTCACCCCTCAGTAAAGATTGCTCTTGGATGAAAACCAGTTCCTCTTAAATGAAGCCTGCCTTCAGAACAAGATATATTTCATTGCACAGGAAGCATTCTGCCAAGAAAGAAATGATTCTGATCCTAGCTGAAACCAGCTTCGCTACCTTATCTTCCTTGACAAGGAACAGCACTCTTGAAATATCCTCATATAGGCTTGTCTCTCCTGATTCAAAAGTGTCAAATATATTATATTGGCATGAAAGTACTATTGCTATTAATTATGGAGTGTCTGTGATGTTCACTACTGATATTTTAAAGGCTTTTAAGGAAAGTAAAACTTTTTCTTTCAATTCAGGGCTTCAGCATAGAACTTATTGTCACTTGATTTTAGAATTCCTTGTGCAATTTTCCCTTTTCCTCTAAGTGTTTACTCAAACCTCTTTAGCCGGGAGCCTTGCTGGGCATTTAATAAGACTGGCTGCTGAGTGTCAGCATTTTTTAATGTCAGCTCTACTGGGCCTGCTTTGCCTCGGTTTCACCATTAATTACACTGTGCTTCGGTTAACATTTGGGAGCAGGCCAGTGTGTTATCCTGAGTCAGCACAAGGGTGGTCTTCCTCTTCAGTATGGTCCTTGTACATCACAACAGATGCTCTTGGAGGCCCTTCAAAGACATTTTGCTTCCTCCACAGATGAGGATGAGATCCATACCCAGGGATTATGAAGTTAAAGGTTTTAAAGCAGAGGTCGTGGTTAAGAGCACAGGCTAATAGTAAGACAAATATTAGCTCTGTGATCCTGTGTAAGTTACTTAATTATATCAGAGGCTTAGATTCCTTGCCAGAAAAAAAAAAAAAAAGGAAAGATAGTGGCACTGAACAGAACCAACAAGGTTGTTGTGAGCAGGGAGCAAATATGTTTTTTGCTGTTATTGCTGGAACAACCAAACAAAATAGACTTGCCTCTCTCCTTTTACAGAAAAATGGCAGACAAAGAAATCATGATCAAATAAGTTGATGAAGTAAGTTACGGGATCTAGAGATGCGAAGGCTTGATGTTGTCATCAGGTTTGAGCAACTCTCATTTTTTTTTTTTTTTTTCTGGTACTGGGAATCGAACTCATGACCTTGCACTTGCCAGGCAGGCACTGTGCTGCTGAGCTAAATCCCCAGCTCCTTGAGCAACTCTCCTAATTTAAAGACCTCCCTAGTACAATCAGGCAATCTTTACCATGGCATTTTCTAAAGGATAAAGAGATGAGATACTCTAGATGTCACTTTTGGAGGAACTCTTGTGATTTACAAACCATCATAAACAAAGGTGACTTTCTAATTCATCCCTATTTTCCTTTCTTCCCCCCTCAATAAAAAATGAGCCTGTAGATGTGGCCTGTATGTTGCTGTGAGAGAATGCTCTTGATTTAGGCCAAACTCGGTAGGTCAGGTTGGGTTTGCTGCCCCAGGGAATCAAAAACTCAGCATAGCACATTCTCCCAGCACCTCAATTTCTCTTGGCTGTAAGTTGTTTGAAACAATAGTGTTACATTAAAGCAAAGACACAAACTTCATAGAGTGTCACATAAACTTCCCAAAGATTTTAAAGATAAACCATGTGTCTTCAGAGGAATTTCATGTTTCTTCTTTCTTGACCCCTGAAGGGCTCATGCTGATTCTTTTCTACTGTGGGAAGCACTTCAGTGGAGAAGTCTGTGAAGTGCTAGTTTTAGATATTTCAGGGGCTGGGGATTTAGCTCAGCGGCACAGCGGTTGCCTGGCAGGCATGAGGCCATGAGTTTGATTCCTGGTACCGGAAGAGATATTTCAAGGAAAAAAGATATTTCAAGCCCCCTTAGCAAAGTAACACAGAGGAATGTGGATTAAAGGTTAACTATTTAGTCACCTGAAATAATGTTCCTAAGGAGTGATTGTGGCAATGTGAAAATGAACATCCCTTACTTCTGTGCACCTCTGATAATCTATCTTGGCCCATTTTGGAGGGACTCCCATGCTGGGTATTGTGCTATCTGCCTGAGGCCTAAGTGACGTTGAATAATAGGAATTCTTTTTGCTGATTCTGATTATCCCTCTATAAATAGAGGATGTTACAATATGTTTCCAAATTGCTAGAGATGGAGGAGGAGAGCACACACTGATGAGGAAGAACGACAACAGTACAAAAACAAGCTCCCGCTGCAGGCTTTAGAGAAGGGAGTTTTTCCACTAGGGCACACAGCAAAGCATCTGTTAACACTGTGGTGAAAAAAAAAAAAAAAAAAAAAAGAATAAGCTACTATAATATAAAATCTTAAAAAAAACAGTAGCAGAGCTTCTGTGGAGTTCTTACTATTATGGACTAGGTACCTTATGTGCATTATCATGACCCTCACAACATTTCTATTCCATCCCATTTTATAGATGAAAAAACCAAGGCTCAGGGTTGCAGAGCCTATAACCTTTCCTACTGTGATACATCGGCAACTAGCTCTATTCATTTCAGGGCTGAGACATCTGACCTAAGCAAGCACAATACTATCATGGGGGAAAGGAAATACTCTCTTACCTTCAGTGCCCAGTCACAATCCACCAGGGCCTTCTGGTACTCCCCAAGTTTTATAAGAGCCTGTAATGACACACAGAGCAGACACTCAGACATCATCCTGCATGGAGCAGCCTTTAGTCAGTACGGAGAGCAGTCAAACAGCAGAATGGTGAAGAGGAGTAAGTGGCTGCAGCCTGGACCAGGCAGAGTCCCAGCCGCAAACAGATGTCACACTCACACAGGCAAGTTGGAAAGAATTTGACAAAGGAGCTACTTACCAGGTAAGGAGGACAGGGCTTTGGGGAACAGAGGAGGGATGTCACAGAATCCCAGGGCTAACACCAGCATGGCTAGAACTGAAGGCGTAGAAGGAGGAGCAATGGAGAAAGGAGGAGATGGTAGCTACGTGAAAGAGCTGTCTCATGTGACCTAAATCCTTTACCAGAACTGAATGCCAGAAGAATAAACACCCCAGTTTTGCTGTGCACTTTTCTTCTCATCTCATTGGCTAAACCCAAAGGGAGGCTAGAGGGCTGGGAAGCCAAAGCACCAGCTCACACAGGTGAACCCCAGGCCACAGAGCAGAGCAAAGAAGGACCAGGAGACAAAACCAGAAAGTACCCAGCACATTAATCACATCTACCAAAGAGGAGCTAATTTGTTGAGCCTAACCTGCTGTGAATGTTCCAGAAGGACACTAGATGATAAAGAGAATCAAAAAAGTAGATGATAACAAGTATTGGAAAGGATATGGATCTGCTGGGAGGAATGTAAAATGAACACAGTCTGGCAGTACCTCAAAAGATAAAATATAGAGTTGCCATATGACCCAGCAATTCTGCCCCTAGATATATACAAGGACAATGGCAACCACATATCCATACAAAAACTTGTACATGAATCCTCACAGCAGAATTACTTGTAAAAGTCAAAAAACAGAAACAATCCAAATGTCCATACACTGGTAGATAACTAAAATACAGTATGCCTATACAATGAAGAAATGTTCAGCAATAGAAAGAAATAAAAAATTGATATATACTGTGACATGGGTAAGCCTTGAAAACGCTGTGTTAAATAAAAGAAATCAGAAACAAAAGGATAAATATTATATGAGTCAATTTATATGAAATGCTTAGAATAGGCAAATATATAGGAATAGAAAGTAGATTAGTGGTTGTCTAGGGTTAGGAGTCAGGGTAGGGAAATGGGAAGTTTGGAAGGTGATAGTGAAAGACTATGTTATGGTTTATACCTAGAGGTCCCCCGAGAGCCTTCTGAGCTCCCAGGCAGCGTTTTGGGAGGGTAACTGGATGATGGAGGATTACACATGACTTGCTATTGGAAGGTGGGTCTGATTGGAAGAGGGGTTCACAGTGAGTGTGACCTAGAAGGGTGTTTATCTCTCCTCCTAGCTCCCTCCTTGATGCCTACTGTCCTTTCTCTGCCATACCAGGAGAAGCTCTCCTCTCCCATGCCGTCCTGCCTTGGAGCCAGAGACAGTGCAAGGACTGAGGTTACTGGATCATTGAGCCAAAATAAGCCTCATGTCACTTAAGATGCTGGTGTTAGAAACTGTGTTTCGGTGACTAGAAAGTGACTAAGACAAGCATGGAGTTCTTCTGGGATGATAAAATGTTCAGGGTTGATTGTGATTTGCATAACTTTGTGATTATACTAAAACCAGGTAATTATACTCTTTAAGTGAGTGAGAATTGTATGGTGTATGAATTATGCCTCAGTAATGTTACCAAAAATAGAGAAAGAAAAAGTTCTGTTCTGTCCTCATAATCCCAGCAGAAAAGAAGAAATACAGAAATACACTGACATTCAAGAGGCCATCACCCTGAGCCCTTGGTACCAAAGGTCTGGGGATTCTTTTAGAATCCCCCAGCACTGGGGAAAATCTTGAAAATCAGAAATCAACTGGGAATTTGGGGGTTATTAGGCACTTTCTCATTACTGGGACAAAATAGCTGACATTTTCAATTTAAAGAGGGGAAGGTTTATTCTGCCTCACTGTTGTACAGGGCTCACTACACGGCGGGTCAACTCCAAGGCAGACACAGCGTGAAGGAAGGGCATGGCAGAGGAGAGCCTCTCACCCCATGATGACCAGGAAGCAGAGAGAGAGAGAGAGAGAGAGAGAGAGAGAAGAGAAGAG